GAGAGAATGGTGCAGCGGTGAATGAATGGAAACCCAAAATCTCTGTAAATGTTTATGAAAATTAATAAAATATAATTATAGGAAAAAAAAGCTAAAAAGAAAGACCCTACCCCTCCCAAAACTGAAGCCAAAACAAACATTAAAGGCCAAAAAGCCAGTCTTGAAGGGCATCCACAGCCACACACACAAAAAAGAATATACACATATCACCCACCTTTTGGTGGCCTAAAGTTCCAAGACCCCAAAGGCAGCCTAAATAGCCCAGGAAGAAAACCCTCAGGAGAAACAAGCTTGACCACTATGCCATCATCACATTTCCCCTGACCACTGAGTCAGCCATGAAGAAGTTAGTAGATAATAACACACTAGTATTCATTGTGTGTTCACTTTCAAGGCCAAAAGCACCAGATCAATAAGCTGTAAAGAAGCTCTGTGTCATTGAGATGGCCAAGGTCAACACCTTGATTAGGCCTGATGGAGAGAAGAAGGCCTATGCTTGACTTACTCCTGACTATGATGCTTTTGATGTTGCCAACAAAATTGGGATCATCTAAACGGAATCCTAAATACAGATTTTCTCACACAGAAAAAACCCTAAAACAATATGGAAGAAGCCAAGAAATAGATGTCAGAGTTAAGGAGACAGAGAGTTTATAAATAAATTTTAAATGTAGGTATACAATGTTTGTAGCATAGCTAATAAAAAAGTAGTAAGGAAATGGAATATTATGCAACAGATAGTGTCTATATATTCTGTGGAAAAATTATTTATTTCTGCGTTATTTATACCAAGAATAGATTCAATGTGGATTAAACATTTAAACATAGCACTATCAAAGAAAGCATATTAGATTCTTAGGAGCAGAAAGAATGATCTGAGTATTACCTAGAGTCAAATAACCGTAAGGGGAAAATGATAGATTTGATTGTGGCAGTGTTAGGTGCCTTCAAATCGACTATGACTCATGGCAACCCTATCCGCAGTGGATCTGAACCTTTTCCTATACTATGCCAACTGCATCATCTCTAATATATTTGAGCCTATTGTTAAAGACATTTTGTCAATCCATTACATTGAGAATCCTCCTCTAATTCAGCAGTGCACCAGTTTGCCAAGCATGATGTCCTGTTCCAAGGACTAGCCCCCTCTCATAACATGCCCAAAATATGTGAGATAAAGTTTCATTTTTCTTGCTTCCAAGGAGCATGCTGGTTGCACTTTCTCCATGATAGATTGATTTTTTTTTCTTTTGACAGTTCATGTGATACTCAGTGCTCTTCTGCAGCACCATAGCTCAAAGGCATCAACTTTTCTGTCATCCTTATTCATTGTCCAACTTTCAGTACATCTTAGTCTTTAAATTGACAGCATTTTTCCATAACACTTTGAAGAGGTCCTTGATAGCACATTTTCCAAATGCCATGTATCTTTTGATTTCTTGACTGCTGAACCAAGGGATGTTAATTGTGGATCCAAGAAAGATGAAATTGTTAACTTTAATCTCTCCTCCATCTATCCTTATTGGTTCAGTGGTGAGGATTTTTGTCTTCTTGATGTTGAGATGCAAACCATACTGAAGGCTGCAGTCTTTGATCTTCTGGAGTAAGCATTTCAAGCCTACTGAGTTTCAGCAACCAAGGTAGTGTCATCTGCATAATGCATAAGTCTTCCTCCGAGCTTGATGTCACTCTATTCTTCATAACGTCCAGCCTCTCAAATGATTTGCTCACAATGGAATATATAAAGTATGAATTTAGGAAAATTGGAAGTTGTAAAAAACTGAAATGGAAAGCATAAAGACTGACATTCTAGATATTAGTGAGCTGAGGTGGGTGGACTGGCATGAGCCACTTTGAATCAGATAATTATATGATCTGTTATGCCAGGAGTGAAAATGAGAAAGAATGATACTGCATTTGTCCTAAAAAAGATCATTTCAAAGTCTATCCTGAAGTACAGTTCTGTGAGTGACACAAAGAAAACCTTTTAATAGAACTCTTATTTAAATCTTCACATCAACAACTAAAGCCAAAGAAAGGAGGATTTCTACCAACTTCTGTAGTTTGAAATTAACTGAACATATAGTCAAGATTTATTAATAATAATAATTGGTCACTGGAATGCAAAAGTTGGAAAAAAGATTGGTAGATGGATTTGGTGACAGAAATGAGGCTGGCAATAGAGTGACTGAATGTTGTACAATCAAGGATTGATTGATTAATTAATTATCATCTTTTTTAAAATCACAAGCTCCATCTATACACATGGGCCTTACCTGATGGACTACGTAGGAATCAAACTGACTACATCTGTGGAGAGAATCATTGGAGCAGCTCAGTATCAGCAGCCAAAGCCAGGCCAGGGGCTGATGGTGGAGATCCTCAGTGACTAATGTGCAAATTCAGACTGAAGCTGAAGAGAATTAGGATGAGTTTACAGAATCAAAGTAGGATCATGAATCTGTCCAGATTTGACTGTCGAGAACTGCAACTTCTCTAATGCAAAGCAAAGAACTATAAGAATTTGAAGCTTTTTGTTTTGGAAAAAAAGATTTTTAATAAATAGAACAAAGAATATTGTTTATATGTGCCATCAAGTTAGAACCTACTCATAGCTGACCCCCAGCAGCTATTCAGAGCCTGTAAAGCCCATGGGAAGAGATTGCCAGTCTCTCTCTTAGAGCAGCTGGTGGATTCAAATCATACGCCTTTGGGTTGGCAGTGCAACTCCTTACCACTAGCTCACCAAGTCCCATGGAATAAGATAGGCATTTCATTAATATATAAAGAGTTCTTTAGTTCAGTAGTAAAACTGTGAACAGTGAATGATTCTCACATGTGGCTCCAGGGCCTTTTTTCATTGCCTCATGAGTGTACAGTGATATTTTCTAGAGGTTACATGACATTGCAACAAATGAAATATCTGCCAAAAACGAGCATCTGTCTACATTCTGTTACCCATTGCCATCAGGTCAGTTGCAGCTCCTGTTGACCTTTTAAGACAGCATAGAACTGTGTGTGCCCTAGGGTTTTGAGGCTCTCGTGGCCTGGAGGTAGAGTGGCGTTGCCAACCCAAAGGCAAGAGATTCAGATCCACCAGCTGCTCCAAGAGAGAAGATGGGCAGGCTGCACCTGCACTATTTATAGCCTTTGAAAACCTGTCAGAGATGAGTGGTTCTGACTCACTGACACATAACAACAACAAGCTTTTTCGTCGAAAATCTTCAGGTCTTCTGTCCAGTGGAGGGTTCCAGCCGCTGACCTTTATGAGCTTAACTGTCATACCACCAGAAATACAAGGATAATAAAACTCAAACGCTTACGGATAATAGATACAGAAAAGTAATATAAAAATAGGAACATTAAATCCATCAAGATGTCTATGTTAATTTTAAAAAATTGTAAACGTCAAGAGCATAAATACCCTCAAAGAGGAAACCTTTAACTAAATTATAGACCACTCTACAGAAGACGATTAAATATTAAACAATAATTTTTTAAAATTTAGAGAAAATTTAGAAAATATTTAAGTCGAAAAACATGGAGTTTTTCTTTTACTTGTAGTAAAATAAAAAATTTTCTTTTTAGTTTTTATTTGCCTCTTTATATTATGATTTATCCAAAATGGTTAAAACTTTTACTGTGATTATAATTTTCTAAAAATATCCCAAAACCCATTTGGCTTAAGGACCTACATATAACAGGCTGATTGATTCTGTTAATGTTGCAGAAATAGAGTTTACATAAAAATGTTTTAATAAGTGAAGAGAAAATGAATCAAGCTACAGCTATTCTTAGCCTTTCAGTTAATGGGATATGGAAATGTGCTAATATCTGCAAAATGTTTATTGTTCCTGATACAAATGACATAAGAGCATAATTTTGGAAAGTCATTAGGTGTCATCAGTCAGAGAGCCTGTGCACAACGGAGGGGAAATTCTGCCCCGTCATGCAGCGTCCTCAGAATCATTGATATGTTGCAATTCTTTGTTGTCCCCTCTGTGTTAATGCCTCAGTCCATCTTTATGTCACTGACCCTCTATTTCATCAGGCATGGGGTATTCCTCTAAGGACAGCTTCCTGACACTGCACCCCCAGCCGTCCCTTTTTTGTTTTAATTTTTACTTCATTTAACATGAGATTGGTTATTGGTCCAATTGTAAGGATTTTGGGATTTTATTTTCTCTTTATGTTTTAGTGTAGTCCATAATTAAGGCTGTATCCTTTGATTTTCATCAGCAAGTGCTTCAAGTCTTTTTCACTTTCAGTGAGCAAGGTTGTGTCATCCAAATATTGCAGATTATTGATGAGTTTAACGACTGTTCCTCTAATTGTGACACCCAATTCTTCATATAACCCAGTTTCTTGAATTATTTACTGAGCATATAGACTGAATAAATATGGTGAAAGGCTACAATCCCAACGCTTACATTCCCTAATTTTAAACTACTTAATAACCTCTTGTTCTATTTGAATGACTCCTTCCTGGTCTATGTACCGGTTTCATATGAGAATAGTTAGGTGTCCTTTACAGTTTTACCCATAATTTGTTTTGATCCACACAGTCAATGACTGCATAGTCAATAAAGCAGTTAAACATCTTTCAGATATTCTCTGCTATCAGCAGAGATACATCTGATGGTCAGCAATGATACATCTCATTCTGTCTTCTTCTGAATCTGGATTGAATTTCTAGTAATTTCCTACCAGTGTACTGCAACTATTTTAAAGTTATCTTGAGCAAGATTTTACTTGCATGTGATATTAATGATATTATTTGATAATTTTTATATTCTGTTAGATCATCTTTCTACAGAATGTGCACAGACAGGCATTCCTTCCAGTAAGCCGGCTAAATAGCTGGCTTCCAGATTGCTTGGCATAAGCAAATGAGCACATGTCCATAGCTACGTCTGTTTGTTAAAACACCATGTCTTTCCACAGATGTTGTCAAGTTGATTCCTTTGTATTCCATCCAGCAAGGTCCCAGTTTGTGTTGTTGGGGAACAAAGGTATTTGCCCTGAATAAATTGTTGATCATATAAAATTTTATTATGAGATCTTCATTGTGTCTCTGTTTTCCTTATTTTCACTTATTTTTTCCAACTACTAAATCTTTTCTTCCTTGTTCCCAACTTTTGCATCCTAATTATATCTTCATTGCATGTTTGATTCATTTCAAACTACAGAAGTTAGTGGAAAGCTTCAATTCCTCCATCTTTGGTTTTAGTAGTTGGTATGTAAATTTGAGTAATACTCATAGTAACAGATCATTTTTTTTATGCAGATAGAAATTTTCCCATCACTGACAGCATTGTACTTAAGGGTAGCTCTTGAAATTGTCTTTTTAATGATTGGTATAACACCCTTCCTACTCCATTTTTTATTCTGGCGCAGTAGACCATTTCAAAATGAGAATCTCATCTCTGGCATTATACTAGCAGTGTTCTCCTGCTGTTTATAAGCTTCCTACTGACCAGTTTTTTTAGAGGTAGCTCACTAGTCCTTTTTCCTAGTCTTTGGTAATAAGATGAAATCTCTCTGGGTGTGTGACCCTATTGGGATTTGAAATAACAATGGTCCTGTTTCCAGCATCACAATATTTCAGTCACCACAGTTGTGGGGTTTGAGAAAGAAAGAGATCCAAGTCAGCTTTTCATGCTTAAATTAATGAACTCCACCTTATCTATCCAACAGTAGTCCCTGGCAGTGCCTGCTAACCAAAATAATAGCAGGTCCTATCTACCCAGAGGTAACTTGCAAGAAAGACCTTGTGATCTACTTCTGACAAATCAGCCATTGAAAACTCTGAGGAGCACAGCTCTGCTTTAACACACATGGTGGTGGTTATTGTGTATTGTAGGGTTCAAACTGACTCCTAGATGGCCCTCTAGCAGATTTTCAGAGGCTTTTAATCACACAGGAGGAGAGCAAAGTAGCTGGTGGCCTTCAACTATGTGCCTTTGGAATTACAGTGCACCTTCTTGGCACTAGGCCACTAGAGTGCTCAATCTGGTGGTAGCTGGTTTTTAACTTCCAGCTTGGAAATTTTAAAATGTAATAACTTGTAGCAAGGAAAGTGGCACTGAACTTTTTTGGAAGAGTAAGAAATTCAGATGAAAAAATGCGTTGGGATGTGCCTTGTGTTCTTCAAGGTTTTAAAAATGGCCATTCCTCTGAGAAAGATGGGAGAAATAATGTATACTGCATTGAAACAGATGAGGGAGAAAAATGTTTAAAAGGGATATGTGATGAAGTTTTATTGTCATGACAGGAGTCCAGAACGAAGGCTGCATGGACCTGGAGTGGACCTGGGGGTGGCAAGGGATTGTAAAACAATGAAAGAATTTTTCTTTTGCTTTTCAAAGAGAAGAGTGTACTGGGGGGAGGGATGGGCAGGGAGAAAAGTGTAACAATGAGTGAATGGAAATCCAAAGTGTCTCTAAATTTTCATTGGAATTAATAAAAAAAATTTAAAAATTGCCATTCCTTTTAAACTATCTCATGTGAAATAGATAAGAGCTCTTTTCTCGCCTCAAGCACTTTTACCTCCCTTAGCTTTACTGTGTCCCTTTTGGCTTGTTCCAGGTCGATGCCATGTACACAAATGTCAAAGTGACCAATATTTGCTCTGATGGAACACTTTACTGCCAGGTGCCCTGTAAGGGTCTGAACAAACTCAATGACCTTCTACATAAGATAGAAGACTACTTCCATTGCAAGGTATGTCGGGAGTCAGAGCAACACTGCCTCTCATATGAGCTCTAAAACAGCACACTAGAGTGGTCCACTCAGTCGCATTCCTGAGTAACGTTTGAATTGTTTGAGATAAATCTTTTGGGGTATTGGGCAAGAGTCTAGTGACTTCAGAGGTGAAGTGGAGGAGGCGAGGAAGCAAAGCCAAAACAAAACACTTGCTTGAACTCTTGAGTTTCACTAGTTTTGAGTCCTAGGTTCTGCTTTATAAAATGAGGATAATTATCGTGTATGTCTATAGGATTCTCATGGGGATTGGTTGCAAGACTTTGGGGCTAACGTATAGTAAGTGCTCCACAATAGTTAGGTTTGCATACAACTGATGATCCTGATAGTGCCAGCTGGTCCTTCTGACTCCCAAAAGGAGAATCCCTGGGATTTAGGAGGAAAATAAAGTATCTCTACCTTTGCCATCATCTTCTCCGGCCTCACTACCCCAGCTCTTTACGGTCTCTGAAAATCTGTCACCTTGAGAGGTTTGGCTTTTCAGTTTAAATTGTATTAATACTCTCAATTCTGGGATGCTTTTCTGAGTTGTAATTGGCTGAAGTTTTGCCTTGTAAATTTCTAAAATCTTTTTCTTCCTCCCTTCCTCCCCATTAGAACATTAAAGTCCTGAGCCAGAATATGCCTTGATTTCCCAGTGGCAAAAGTGTAGAAATGCTGCTTTAATCCCCACCCTCTCATCCCTAGAAGTGAGATTCTTTTCCCTTTATTTTACTTACTCTGTAGGTTCTTTGGGCACCTTACGGCTCTGATACTCAGCTCGGTATTTTAGCTGTTCACATACTTATTTCTCAAACTAAATTAGGCCTCTTGAGGAGAGGGACTGTGTCTCACCAAATTTTACATCTTTTACAGTACCTAACCCAGTGTGTTACATAGAGTACTCCAGAATATTTGGTAAAACTCTAGACCACAGTCTGAAATCAGGACATTGGGTCTGTAGCTTTACCTCTTTTTGCATCATCCTGCATCGTATATGTTTCCCAGAGTCATTACTTAAGTTTACTAGTGTCTTTCTCAGAGAAATCAAAGACACTTAGAGAGGCTGACTCCAGTGACAGACACATTTGCATGGGCGCCTCATAACCTATGGTGTTAAAAAGCCCTCTTGGTATTTTCTAGTGTTCTGGTAACCTGAGTGGGGATGCTGCCTGTGGGTCGAGTAGAGAGCTACCCACCTGAACTGACCAGGGCAGGCTCCTAGCTTCAGCAGCAAGGGATGCACAGACCTCAACCACAGTTTGTTAGCATTTCACTGGCAGATGTTTTCATTGATGACCTGTGTTTTGGAACTAAGAATTACTAGTATTTAAAAATAAAAGAAGGTCTTAAGAATAGCACCCCTCTGTAGTTCATTACAAGCTGGTCTCCTTATTTACCTGGTGGGGCAAGTGCAGATTGAACTCTGTGCTAATGTTCTTGACTTTTTAATTGTACTCATTTAGGAGCCTCAGCATGTAGGGAAAACATAGCCCTGTCCCCAGCACACGCGTGATAAGAAGGCCGAAGTTTCTTACCTCCTCCCGCCCACTGCAGGCAGCATGCTTCCCAGAGAGAAGCAGCTGTGTGGAAGTTCTGTAGCACTCCTGTTACACAGCGTGCTGTACCAGTTACCTATTTCTTTTCACTGTGTACCAACGTAGTCTTAGCTAAGAGTAATAAATTGATCATGCATTTTTGTTTTGTAGCACATGACCTCCGAGTACTTCATCTCACTACCCTTTTGTGGGAAGATCTGCCTCTTCCATTGCAAAGGAAAGTGGTCACGAGTAGAGGTAAAGCAACCCTTTTTAAACTTTTTAAAACTTAATGTAAAATATCCTAAACATACAAGTTGTGTTAGTTAATGGCCTAAGTCTCCATATACTCACCACTTACATAAGAAAGAAAACCTGAGGGAGCTCTGGTGTCCTAGGGGCAAGATGCTGCACTGCATTCCCAGAGGTACGCGGTTCAAATCCACCAGATGCTCTGCTGGAGAAGGAGGGAGCAGTCTCCTCCTGTACCAGTCAGATCTGATTTGATGGTACACGTAAAAATAATATAATAAAAATTTTTTTAAAAAAAGAAAGAAAACCTGACCTAGGTGGTTGAAGTAGTACGTACCACTGTGAACTGTCCTCTGTCTCCCTGGATAGCGATGTAGAAGTGAAGTTTCTGGGTATCAGGAAGGTGCGTCTTTAACTTTACCAGATTCTGTGGCTCTCTGGAGTCATGGTTCCAGTTGAGGATGTTGGCCTTTGAGGGTCTCGCCTTCACGGGGAGAGCACCCCACACACACACACTCCTGCTGGATCTGAGGTCCTGTCTCCTGCTCAGTGGCTTTGCGTTCTCTACTCCAGTATTTCTCCATTTCCAGCCTTTAGCAGCTTTCCTTAGTTTCTTGTGATCTCAGCAATTTGAAAGGAAATTTTTTCTATTATATTCAGTATTTGTATATTTTCCTAAAAAGGTCAGCTTTGGATTTTCTGAGGTTACTGTGGGCTTTTTTAATCTTTTGTTTGTTTAGTATATATCACTATCTTGGTGAAATTTTCCATTTTTGAGCCATTCATTTGGACTTATATTTCCTCTTTATAATTTTCTGGGTTTTCTTTTAGTTAGGATAAATGATGACATTATCATTAGGTCTTCTAATGATGCTATAGAATACAGAAATACCTTATAATATGAAAGTATGCAGTATTTGTGGTAAGTAAATCTCTTTCAAAATTTATTCTTTGTCTTCTCATTGTTAACACAGAATTTTTTTCTCACATTTTAATATTTTGTGACTAGACTACATATCCTAATGAACAGTATATAAAAATGTCTCAGTTTTCAGAATTAATAGTATCCTAGAATTGACTAGTAAATATTACTGTATTTATGTTTGATTTTACTATTAGCTTACTGATTTTTACTTATTAAAGAATAACTAAATGTTACAATCAATTTCCTCAAAAGAATAGCTTTCTAGTAAATATATGTTAAAATTAGGGGAATCTTAACATTGATCTTCTGTGTTGCTTTTTCTAGGCAGCTGTATAAAATATAACTGCACAGAAGCGTTTGGGGTTTTGACAATGCTAGTAAATTAGCCCACGGTTATCTCGTTTCAGATCACAAATGTTCACAGTAGCCGGGCTCTCGATGTTCAGTTCCTAGACTCTGGCACCGTGACATCTGTGAAAGTATCAGAGCTCAGAGAAATTCCACCTCGGTTCCTGCAGGAAATGATTGCTATACCACCTCAGGTACTCTATCATAGGGCTGGGCCACCTGCTGGAAGAGATGTGGATGCATTTGTAAGGCCAGAGAGAGGGTGCGCATTGGCTGACTTAAACAAAAACACCAGCCAATTTTCAGAACTCTGTCAGATTTGCAGAAACATTTATCAGATACTTCATTTTGCAGAATTGCAGTATTTGATAAATGTCTAAGTAAATAGAAGTTCTGTTGTAGTAATTAGATGATGATATTGATACCTAATACAGTTAGAATATCTATTATATGTAAGTATTTACTTCCAGTGTTTTTTGCTGATTTAGATTTTTGGAAATCCCTACAGATTCTAGTAACTAGATTCATTTACTTAACCTACAATACAAATTGCAGAGTTAGTGGAATCTCTCTGATTTTAGTAACTGGACTCTCTGATTTTAGTACCTTTGTTAATCCAGATTAAGACCCACTTTGTATGTAAAGTAATAATAACCTGTAAACAAAATAACATTTCCCGATAGTCTGTGGTTTCATGAGATCCCTTAGCTATTTCAAGAAGGCATCTTATGCCATTAGAAGTCAATAAGTAAAAAGTATTGATCATTCTTATGCCATAAAACGTCAGTGATAAAAAGAAAAAGTATTGATCATAGTTAATGTGTCTTATATTTTTTTCTCATTCTAGTCACCTTCACCTTATCAAACAGAAGTTATTTAACCTATATTCAAGCCTATTTTCAAAATTGTTTTTTCTTTTTTTGCTGATACGTTTTAATACTGAAAAGTGATAGATCAAGTGCTGCTGTGGTTGTTAGGGCTGTTGAATCAGCTCTGACTCAGGCCAGCCCCATGTGCTGCTGTCACTTAATTATACCTCTGGCCTTTCCAGCCCTTGTTAGAACATCTATCCAGGACCAGCCTTGCCTAGAAAAGTCTCCACAGGCTAGAGAGGAGGAGGGAATGTTTTCCACTGGTTCAAATAATCTGAAATTCAGAGTAACACCTTTTTTGGTGCTAGGACATTAAAAGCCATTTAAAAAATATTAGTCTTACATAGATTTGCTACTTGATCAATACAGACTCCTAGTTGAGGAAACTTTGGCGGCCAGGGAGCCCCAGTCCTCTGCCTGACATTTCTGCCAAGTGGTCTCAGTCCAGAGTAACAAACTAGTGGGCTGTAGACCCAAACTGACTCATGAATATTGGAGTTTGCTTCTCACAGTGTCCTAAAAATATGAATTTGTTGCCAAGATTTTAAAATCTAAAAATTCCATGCCAAAATACCTTATTCTAGCTTCTCTTGACAGATGAGAAGATGTGCCCATGTAGCAATAGACACAGCTCCACAGGAGCTCTGGAAGTAGCTGTTTTCCTTACAGGGCCCAAGCTTTCCAGCTGCTTGCTCCAACTCACCATGCCACCTATCACCTGCCTGGCCTCTGCAGGTGTTACCGATATGGTAACACCTTCACTCTGCTCCAAGGCTCCCCACCAAGGGGCCGCATTCAGGGGTCACTGTGAAGACTAACTGGGAGCCTTATTGTTTGTTGTTGTGTACCATCAAGTCAGAACTGACCTTCTTGGAGGTTTTCAGAGGCCATTAATCACACGGGAGGAGATTGTCCATCCTTCTCCAGTAAAGAAACTGTTGAATTTGTACTGCATACCTTTGTGTTGGTAGCACTATTCCTAACCACTAAGCCACCAGGCTGGGAATTCTCCTTCCAGGCAATTTACTGCCTCTGAAAACAACTTGGAGGGTCAGCTGTGAGTTGATTCCACTCAAGGGCACACAACAATAAAAACAACAGTGCCATCCAAATGACATTCTTTTGAGTGTAGCTTTGAGGAGAGTACTAGATAAGAGTCCTAACCCTCTTACTTTGCAACTCTGTGGTCTTAGACCAGTTAATTTGAGTCTGTCTTACCATCCATAAAATAGGATAAACATGGTTTTGCTTGTGTTGTAAGTTAAGAACTACATGAATCATCTAGTGAACGCCTTCATTCATAATAGGAGAAAGATAATAGCAGTAATCTAAATAGAGCCAGGAACAGAGCAGATGTTCACATCTGAGGAATGCGATTGTCATTATTAGCTGTTCGTTTTCTCTCTTGGCAGTCTCTAACTTGAAAGAAAACAGTGTTGGCATTATTCATATGTACTTATTTTAAGATGCAATGTTTGCCTCTCCATCATGTTTTCTTTTCAGGCTATAAAGTGCTCCTTAGCAGATCTTCCACAGTCTATTGGCGTGTGGACACCAGATGCTGTGCTTTGGCTAAGAGATTCCGTTCTGAACTGCTCAGACTGTAGCATTAAGGTTAGTTGACTTACTGATCCTGGTACATTTACAAAGGGAGCTGGCAATGAGAAGGGTTCATTTGGTGGTTGCGAAATAATGCTCTTGGAAACTGATACTTCCCCATCTGATACATTTTTTAGTCATTTTAGAGATTAGATAGATGTGTAGTTGAAATTAATTATTTCAATTTTTCATTATTATTTAAGAAATTACCCTGTTTCCCAGTACTACTTTTAAACTCTATTTTTTTTTCATTATTAAAAGGTAACAAAGGTTTCTTCTACTTCTGTTTTCCAACAGAGGGGTTTACGTATCTCTTGATAAAAGTGTCTAGAAATTAACTAAGATCTCTCTTTTTCTCTAAAGTAGAATGGATTATAAACAAGTTATTTGTCTCCGATTTTGGTGTGTGTTTTTTAAGGTTCATTTAAACTGACTTTGTTATTCACAAGACTTTGTTTATTTTTCTTACTTTTACATCTTCATATCAAAGATATTACTCATATTTCTAAGAATAGAAATGTAGCAAAATATTTTTCTCTGCAAAGAAGTGCAAATAGTGTTATCACTTCATGTAAGTTTTTAATGAGACATCCTTGAGAACTCTCTTTATGTAGATTATTATTCAGATTCTCAGTAATTTCTCTTTCTAGAGTGAATAATGTACAATTACACATTTAATTCTATATGCTTTATATTATTGTTCCACTGTTATATGATAATGAATATTGTTCAAAATTGCTTTCACAGTTCCTAAAGCCAGAGTGTTGGATTCTAAGTGGAAACCTTTTTTTAATTGGTTTTTTAAATTTTACTTCAACATCATAAATATGAAAATGAATTAATCGCCAGAATTTCATTGCCTATTTAAAGAATGAATTTTAAAAGTTTTTTATTTTACATACAAAATTCCTATACATTGTGTTTCACACTTTCCTTCATTCATATTGTGTTTCATACAGTCATTCCCATACCTTGTTTTATAAAATTAATCACCATTGGACTGTACCCACCATAAGCCCGTTTTTTCAGGGTCCTGCCAGATCTTTCCCATTTCCCTCCCTCCACCCACCAAATTGTATGACCCTGTGATTTCCCCCCTGGTCACCCTCGCCCCTCTGCTCCCACCTCTGCCCTCCTTGGACCCCCCCGTACGCATTTTCCTAGTTGTCCTTCTGGTTTTACAGTAATGGTCTTATGCAGTATTTGTTCTTATGTGACTAAGTTAGTTTACTGAGCGTAGTGCTCTACAGTCTCTCCCAAATGATGTAATATTTTTCTAAATTGTTTCTCCTGAGTGCTGTGTAGTATTCCATTGTGTGAATGTACCACAGTTTCTCAGTCCATTGGATTGTGGTTGGACAAGTAGACTGTTTCCATGTTCTTGAGATTGTGAATAATGCTGCTATGAACACTGGTGTACAAATCTGCTTTTGTATCTCGGTTCTAATTTCCTTGGAGTCTATTCCTAGCAGAGGAATAGCTGAGTCATATGAGGTTTTCATGTTCAGCTCTTTGAGCACTGCCTTCCAGAGTGGTTGTACCATTTTACAGTTCCACCAGCAGTGCATAAGAGTTCAAACCTTTCCATATTAAAGGAGAAGTTTTGTTTTTTAATAAATTTGCCTCACTGGGGAAAAGTAAATGACTGTGGATAGATTGTCTTGGCTGATATCTTTCTCCCTTTATGCCTGAATTCCTGCCCGTCACTTCTAGCCCTGTTCGCTAAAAGATAGATGAGGCTAGAAGTACCTCACTGTTGTGTCCCAAAGGGTGAATGAAGGTTGATGATTTTTGTCAGCTCTTCTTTGAGAATTTGAGACACAGCAGTCCTAAAATAGAATGCTAACTAACCATATCTTCCCTGCTAGTGTAAGGCCTTCTCATGCAAACATTCACCCCTTTGCAGAAACAGCAGAGCCAGCTATGGAGTCCAAGGTCTTCTGGCTGAGAGTACAGAACTGTAATGGCACTCTCATCGTCTTTTTCTCCCCAGGACTTTCTTTTCCCTAAAAATTGGGAAGGAGAAGTGAGAGGGGAGGAGAGATACTAGGAATAAAGAGGGCCGTCTGACAAGAGATCTTTACAGGTTTTGTAGATGGCAGGTTTTGTTCTTCCCTTCCCAGTCCGAGGGCATCATTCAGAGCCTGCCACTGTCATCATTATTTGTCATTGTTTAAGCTGGGTGATAAGCATCTGGGGGTCATTGAAGGACTCTTTCTTACTTGAGTGTTCTGAAATAATCATGAATACGTTTTTAAAATCATGATATATAAGATTACTGTTCAGTGACAGTGATCTCTAACAAGAAACAATATTCTCAGAATTTTAAAGGTTAAAATGGTTTCATTTCTGTAAGATTGTAGCTTTTTTCTGAGAATTTTTACTTAAAATCTATTTATTGCCTAAAACTATGATATATAATTAATCTTAAAGGAAATTAATTTTAGCCTGTTTTTTAAATTACTGTGTTTTAATATTTAAGATTATACTTACGATTGATATTATAACTTAGATTGCTGAAATTGTGGGGGTGTGTCTTCCACAGGTGACAAAGGTGGACGAAAACAAAGGGATCGCATATATTTATTTATTTACGCCTAAGAACTTCCCCGATCCTCACCGCAGTATTAATCGCCAGATTACAAATGCAGACTTGTGGAAGCATCAGAAGGATGTGTACCTGAGTGCCGTGTCGAGTGGCGCAAGCTCTCCCAACAGCAAAAGCATCAGTACCTCTGGGCCGGGCGGTGCTGGAGAGGGTTTCCGAAAGAGCCTCACTGATAGCCTCAAAAAGTCCATGGTGGACCACCCCAGCACTTTCTCTGTGAATGAACTGCCACCTCCTGTCCACTTGTCAAAACCAGGGGAGCACATGGATGTGTACGTGCCTGTGGCCTGTCACCCCGGATACTTTGTCATCCAGCCTTGGCAGGAGATACATAAGTTGGAAGTTCTGATGGAGGAGATGATTCTCTACTACAGTGTATCTGAAGAGCGACACATAGCATTGGAAAAAGACCAAGTGTATGCTGCAAAAGTGGAAAATAAGTAGGTCCCTGACAGAACCCTTTAGTCTGCTCCTAAAAAAACTATGTAGAATGATAACCAGAGTTCTTAATCGAACCCTGGCAGGGAGAATGGAAGTGCACATATGGGAATTTTGATTGTGAAGCTGACCAGTCAGTTGTATCATTTTCTAACATTTAAAGACATATAATTTATGTAAAAATCTAGTAACCCTAGTCCTGTTAAAATATAATTTCACTTAAAGTGAAGGTTTGAATGTGAGGCGTTTTTTTCTTACGTTAGAAAATATTTGAAAACAATTTTTTTTATTTAGAAAACAATTAGCTTAAATTACTTTTTATATTAAAACGTTTCTAGAAAATAGAAAGTAAAACAAAGGACTTTTACAGAGCAAAGTACAACAAAAAAGTTAAAAATTAGTCACTTAGGCATAACCTTTGGCAAATTATTTCCTTTTTTGCCATATATATTAATATACTTGGATATTATACATAATTTTGTACCTTTTTTTCACTTAACATACTGTGATAGTATTTCCTGTGATAAATATCTTCAAAAACATTTTTAATGTTTGAATGATATTTCCTCATATGGAGAAATCATAGCATTTCTCATAACTTTTTTTTATAACTTATTTATAATTATCTTCTGTTGCTTAGGGATTTTTCTTAGACATTTTTCACTATTATAACTAATGCTGAATATAAAATATCTGCATCTCTGATTATTTCCTTATGGAATAGAATCCTAGAAAAGTACTAGTCGCTTGTACCTTGCTACATGTCACTTGGTGCCTTGAATGCCTCTGCGAGCTCTTACAGGGTAGGACAATGCATATGCCACTGCTCTTTGGCCTCTGCACAGTAAGAACCATGTGTTAGGACGGGTATTGGTTTTGGATTTTTTCCATATTTACATCACTGCCGCCCTCCTTCCCTAAACCTTCAGTGTAAGCTGTTTTCGATTTCAGGAAAGCCAATCTCTCAGCTCACTCTCTGTCCCACACTCGGGTCATAAAAATCCAGAGATGGCATGTCCTGCCCTCTTTGCTGGCTTTCTTAGGGGAAGTGGACGTGCTTGTTTGTTGACTCTGAACACAAGAAAACTCTCTCTCTCTCAGAGAACTCTCCCTTCTACAACCGTGGAAACATTCCACCTCTCAGTTTCAAAGGTGAAAATGGGTTTTTTTTTGGTCTGTGAAATATTTACATTCTTCCTTTAGAGAACAAACAAACATTGATAAATTTTATCATTTTATGGGAGAAAATATTTACCTTTTAACAGCATGAAGTGGAAATTATCATTTTTATTTAGGGAGAAAAAAAGTCCATATTTTATGTCTACTGCAGTTCTGAAGGCACACGGTTCAAATCCACTAGCAGCTCAATGGGAGAAACAATGGGCAGTCTCCTCCCATGAGATTAGCTGCCTCTGAAAACCCACTGGAGAGTCAGCTACTGGTCATTTCTGACTCAACAGCCCACAACAACAAAATTCTTAGTATGGGGGGAAAATCCCTTTTTGCTACTTTGTATTATTTTCATTCCTTGGCTGCTTGTCAGATCTGAACTTCACCCTGTCTTGTGCTACATCACAGTCTCTGTCATGCTGAGCCCATTGTTACAGTTGCTATGTCCCTCTCATGGACGGTCTGTCTGCTGCAGACGACATGCCCAAAGCCTGTGCAATGAAGCTTCCCCACCTTTGCTGCTAGGGAGCACCCTCACTGCACTGCCTTCAAAACCGATTTGTTCTCACGGTCCATCAGGTCCACTCTTCATCATGGCCAAAATTCAGAGGCATCAATCATTTCTTCCGTCATCCTTAGTCATTGTCCAACTTTCAGATGCATCGGAAGTAAGTGAATTGAATCAGGTGTACCTTACTCATTATAAGAATATCTTTGCTCTTGAGCACCTGGAGAGGTCCTGGACAGCAGATTTTCACCCAAAGCAGGAAATCCTACTCGAGATGTTGGGGAAGGAGAACTCATAAACAAGGGGACTGGAGTGGGGAGCTTTGGACTCCCTTCCACCCTTCTTGGACTCAGACAGCTTTGCTCAGTTAATTTGCATCTAAAAAAAAATCAAAGGATGTCTTATATACCAAGAATAGATTGTTCTTTTGTGTGGTTCTGGTTTTGCTTTTTTTAAGCAAACTTAAAATCAATGAAAAACTGAACCAATGAAATGAATCCGTGTAAAAAAAGTATCTTACTTGAGATTCAGGCATATTTCTTGAACTCTACGTAAACCTTGTTCCAACTCTGTCTTAGCATAAAAATAATAACATGGAAAACAGTAAAAACAGAGATTCCCAGTTTTCATCTGGACCTTTAGAAGCTGAATCTCCAAGGTAGAGCCTTGGAATCTTGTCATTTCAGAACACTCCAGGTGATTCACAGACACTTTCCCTGAGGACATTGAAGAAGCACCTGTTTCGGGCGGGCCTCCCTTCACTGATGGGGCCTCGTGTGGAGACCTTGTGCTCAGATGGCCAGTATAGGTTCCTGATGGTTCTACTGACGGAAGAAAGATGTTCTCAACTCCTTTTGCGCTTAATACAAATGAACATCTTGCACCAAACGGACGTGTCCGCATATGAAAATGGCTTTTCATTTTGCCCTGAAGTACTTATCTACACAGCTTATCTTTGCTTAAATACTAACACTAACAGCTCCCATTTGCCAAGTGCTGAGTACGTGCCAAGCAGTGTGCTAAGCACATGGCAGCACTATTCCTTCAGATGAATGGATTTTAAATGTTAATAGGTAACTGAGGTGCATGTAGAAAAGTTAAATGAAGAGCTCAGGTGAGGTGACTGAAGATGGCTCAGCTGTGATTGTTTAGCCCCAAAAGCTTGTGTTTTGTGTCTTCAGGGAATAACTACTTGCTGCACCGGTGGCTCATCTGAAAGTTTGTGACGTTCCCCAGAAAACCCCAAACACATACAAGTCTTTAACTCTGACACATTCCTTTCAGACCGTATGGAAGATATTCCTTTCCTTACTGTGATAACATTAGTGTGACATAGTGATGTAATCAACAGGCCCCCTGAACTCCATCAAGATGACCTTTAGAATGGTCCTTCCTAACTTCCCTTTAAGTCTACGCTTTTCTCATGATGTTGATGTTGGCCCTGAAGGAATAATTACAGTCATGGGAATATCCTTCTGGCACCTTGACCTTGATCTGAAACCATGCTCCTTTCCCCCATTCCACATTCTTCTATATCCCCTGCTCTTCCCATGCACTCTACTTTAGGAGGTAGACTAGATTTTTTTGTACTTTGTTTTATCTTCTTTTATTTCTTCACTCTTGACATAATGTAAGTGGCCAACTTTGTGCCTCAAACCTTTGTAATTTCTCCCCAGTTTACGTTCCCAGGCTGGCTTTCTCTTCCACGCCTCCATACAGTCTACTTCTAGTTGTATTGGAATGTGTGTATGCTGGTTCCGGTCTTCTAGACATTTCTTCTCATGCAGTTCTTAGCCTGACTGGTCTCGCTTGCCTCCTCCTTCTCATCTCCCAACATTAATACATAGACGTAGCCTTTTTCTGTATGCTAGGTCAGAGTGAAGGCCCTTGTCCTGACCATCTGACATGACACTTGTTTCATTCTACATAATATATGTGATAGTTTATGTGTCAGACTTCATCACTAGCTGTCTTTAGAACCATGAATGTCTGCTGAAAGAACAAGTTCTATGAAATGAACCAGTGGCAAAGCAGAGGATAATAATTCATGGTAGAGGGGAAAGAAGCAGCATTCTCATTTTAAAATAGCTGTGATAGTATAGTTTTATGTTTTATAACAACTAATACATTATTCTTTTCACTATAAAATACTGCTTAGCCTTAAAGTAGGTGCTAACTCAGTGTGTTTTGTTTTCCTTTTTAAATCCATGGCACATCTAGATGGCACCGGGTGCTTTTGAAAGGAATCCTGACTAACGGACTGGTGTCCGTTTATGAGCTGGACTACGGCAAGCACGAATTAGTCAACGTCCGAAAAGTCCAGCCCTTAGTGGACGTGTTCAGAAAGCTGCCATTCCAGGCAGTCACCGCACAGCTTGCAGGTAGTTTTCGTGATGTCTGAGGTCACCCTGCACAATCGGTTATTCTGTCTGGGGTCCTTAACTAGTACTGATTCATTGACCTATTACGGGTTCTTCACAACATTTCCTGAAAATCCTGATCATAATGGAAATAACACAGCATTAAATCTCAAATGAAAACTATTTCTTCAGGTAAAGGCTTACAAAAGTAACTCCATTTAGTAGGAAAACTACAAGCTGGACTGTTCTAAGGTGGTTCGCCAGTGAGCACAAGCAGTTCCCCACTGTCCTGGGCCTAAGGAAGGCTGCTGTGTGACCCTTCACTTGTGCTCTCTGTCTTTCTACCAGGAGTGAAGTGCAGCCAGTGGTCTGAAGAGGCGTCGATGGTGTTTCGAAATCACGTGGAGAAGAAACCTCTGGTGGCATTGGTGCAGACTGTGCTAGAGAACACTAACCCCTGGGACCGGAAAGTAGTGATTTATTTAGTGGACACATCGTTGCCTGACACTGATATCTGGATTCATGACTTCATGTCAGAGTATCTGGTAGAGCTTTCAAAAGTTAATTAATTGCTGCTTCGGTGACCTTGACAACTAATTGAGATTTTTTAGCAATAACAAAATGTAGTAGGCTTTAAAAAAATACACACACAGAGACAAACAGCCACCCCCTCCCTGCTACATGGCCTTGACTCTGTGGGGGATTGAAAAAGAATATGCTTATGTTTGGTGGAAAATATTTAACAAGTTTTGTTTTAACAGAGTTTCTTTTCAAGAAAATTACTCTTGGATTGCTACTATAATAGCAGAATAAAAATGTTTATCAATATAAAAACTGACTATCTTGTAATCTCTAGGCTTTCTGGTCTTAAAATCAAGTTTCCCTTTCAATCATTCTGTCTTTGGGTTCTTCTCTAGTTACATGTAGAGTTTTATGACTTAGGAGGTTCTGGGTAGTTGTCAGAACCTGGGTATTGAAAGTGATTTCAGTAGACTGTTAACCTAGAGGTTGGCAGGTGGAATCCTCCTGGCAGCTCACCTAAGACAGACCTCGCGATCTGCTTCTGTGGAGATTGTTGTTGCTGTGCACTGTGGAGTCAGAACTGACCCATAGCTGACCCTACAGTGAGTACTGAGAGGTCATAAATCTCATGGGAGGAGATTGCCCATCTTTCCCAGAGCAGCTAGTGGATTTGAAGCACAAACTTGTAGGTTGGCAGCACAATCCCTTTCCAGCCAAGAAAACCCTGTGGGGCTCTGTGCTATGTGGGGTGCCATGGGTCAGATAGACTTGGTGGCAGCGGGTCTGGCTTTTGAGTTCTAATAAGTCATTCTTCCAGAGATGCACCTGCCAGTTTAGAGAGAGGAAACAAGTCCCAGAGAGATATAGTTTGCCTTTAGGTCCCTCTAGGCCAGCACTTCCAATAGAAATGTATGCTCTTGTGGAGCACTGGTAGTACAGAAATAACTAAAATCCTGGAAGCAACCTAAATGGCTATTTCTTACTAAGATGGGTTTTTTAAAACCTGTGATATATCCATGCATTGAGAAATTCTTTATGATTATTTTTTTAAAAAATCTATTAAAAACATACTACTTCATAAAAAATGTTTAAAACAGCCTGAAAATTGTAACTAGACATTATATGTATAACAATTAACAGTCTCGAAGAAGCATTAAAAAGTGAACTAGGGGAGGAGGAGCATGTATATGTTGGAAATCCAATCTCTTTGAAAATTTCACTAAAATCACAGTTAAAAAGCCAAAGCAAAAAACCCCTAGTAGATGGCTAGTAATATTAAAATGGATTTTTAAAAAGCTATGATATATCCATACACTGGAAACTTGAGTGCAGACAAAGTGGAACTGCAGAAAATAACACAGGTTAACCTCACAACAGAAAACTGAACACATGCAGGAGGGGAAAGGAGAACAAGGACATGATTACCATAAAAATAAAAACCATGATCAGATCTGTGAAGGCGTTAGGACTGGGAAGCCTGTGGAGGCTTCTGGGCTATGAGCAGGGTTGGGTTTTGACCTATATGTTCACATTATACAACATTAGGAAGTTGTGTACACTTTTCTGTATAGTTTTCTTTTGCAACGAAATGATTTTAAAATCTGAAACAGCACATTATTATTGTCTTATTAACATACATGGCACATGTGTAACAATGAATGAATGAAAATCCAACTTCTCTATAAACTTTTGTTAAAGTTGCAATAAAAAAATTAACTTAAAAAATGCACAGAACATATCCCAAGATGAATTCCATTAGGGAAATCTGCTGTAAGGGACCTCTCCAGAGTGCTGAAGAGCAACAATGTCAGTCTAGAGACACCTGATCTAAGCCAGGGTCTTTGCAATTACTTGCTATGCATCAGAGAACTGGACAGTGACCAAGGATTACAGAAGAATTACTGATGCCTTTGAATTGTCGTGCTGGAGAAGGATTTTGAACATAACCACGGACTGCCAAGAGATCCTAAGAGGTCTGTCCTGGAGAAGGTAAAACCATGCTGCTCCTTGAAGGCAAGGGTTTTGAGGCTCTGTCTCATATATTTTGGGCATGTAGCCAGTAGGGACCAGTCTTTGGAAAAAGATACCATGCTTGGAAGGGTTGAGGGACAGTGCAAGAGAGGAAGACCCCAGATGAGATGGACTGACACAGTAACTTGGGTAATGAGGATAGATGTGACAGATTAGCTCAGGATAGAGCTGTTGTACATAGGGTCACTATGAGTCATAGTTGACTTGATGGCACATTACAACAACATCCCTTAAAAAGAACACTCTTACAACTGGGATACATTTTAGTCAAGAATAATTTTTCATTTGTAATGAGCTTTTCTCAGTGTTGTTGAATATCATCAAGTCAGATCCGACTCAGCTGACTCTCCAGTGGGTTTTCAGAGGCAGTAAATCTCATGGGAGGAAATTGCCCATCTTTCTCCCAAGGAGAAGCTGGTGGATTTAAACATTGTACCTCTGAGTTGACAGTGCAATTCCTTACCACTGAATCACCAGAGCTCACTCCTTTCAGGCTCAAATTTTTTACAATTGATGGAGGCACTTTTATGGCAGAGATGAAATCTACTTCTAGGATTCCTTCTTTTCTCCAACTATAAGATTAGATTTTACTTAAAAGGGGTCTACTTATATCACCAGAAATTTTCTCCTGTAAATCCAAAAGGAGACTTTTTCCTATGTCCATACAAATTCCTCTGTATGACAAGGTTGTTTTTTTTCCCCAAGACTTGCTACAACCTCTAGAAGCTGGGACTTACTTATTTGGTGGTACTTAAGTTTTGACTTTTCACACATCAAACTCAATATAAACGGCAACATTCCATTTTCTTTTGGCTTATATGGTGATGGTGCCCTCAAGACAAGTACAACCCATTGCAACCCCATGAACAATATAGAACTGAACCCTGTCCTTTCCTGTGCCATCCTCACCATATCTGATTTAATTGAGAGCATTATTCAATCACTGTGTCGATCCATCTTGTTGAGGGTCGTCTTCTCTTTACTGACCCTCCACTTTTGCAAGCATGGTATCTTTTTTCCAGAAACTGACTCGTTTAACAGCATATCTAAAGTATAAGAGACCAAACTTCACAATCTGCCTCCAAGGAGTACTCTGGCTTCACGTTCTCCAAGACATACATGTTTGTTCTTTTGGCAATCCGTGGGGTATTCGGTACTCTTTTCCAACATCACAGCTCAAGGGCATTGATTTTTCTTCTGTCATCCTTATTCATCAGCCAACTTTCAGATACATAGAAGTAACTGAAAATACCATGTCTTTAAAAACAATTTTTTAAAAAGACCATGTCTTGGATTAGGTGCACTTTAATGTATATTAAGATGGGTGAAGGAGAAAGCAATATAAAACTAAGGGTGTTATCAACACAGTATCACTTAAAGGAAGAGAGTATGCTAGAAAGTAATGGAACTCAGAATTATTGGGAGGAAGCTGGAAAAGTGCTATTGCATTGTGGATATAGAAATTAATGTCATAGACAAATTGTATATGAATGGAATGAAAATTTTCTTTGTACACCTTCACTGGAATCACAATAAAAATTTAAACAAAATGAAACCCACCACGATGCTCAAAGCAGACATTTTTTCACTAAAACGAAGATGTCGAAGAATGCTTTTGGTTTAAAGTTTAAAGAGAATTCCTGAGCAATAGTTTCAGGGATTCATGCATCCTTCATGGAAATCTGGGGTTCACTAGGATTTAAACCTTTTCTACATGTTTCTTTCTTTTTTATTAGGATTCTTCTGTGGAATAGTTGATCAAAATATTGTCACCATCACTTTCAAAGGTTAATCTTAATTCCAGGACCAGCAGAAATGAAAAAAATGCGCACCTATTATCAGATAACCACCATCATTAAACTCCTCCAGGTACAAATCGAGGAGCCGAGATGAAGGGAACCGAAAGAAAGCAGGAGCTCAGGACGCTTTTGCTTGGCCAGGCTTGCCGGCGCCGCGCGGCGGGTGTCGACCCGGAGGCAGAGACGCGCGCGGGGTCCGGCGCCCCGGGTGGAGTGGGGAGGGATGGGGGGAAGCGGCGGGGAAAGTAATGGGCGGAGCGCCCATGCGGGGCGGGGCGAGTAGTGGGCGGGGCTCTCATATGGGCGCGGCGCTCCTGCGGATGCGGCATTGGAGCGGGCGGGGTGGGGCGGGGCGCGGCGAGTAGTGGGCGGGGCTTTCATGTGGGCGCGGCACTGGAGTGGGCGGGGCTGGTCGTTTAGTGGGCGGGGCGCTCCTGTGGATGTGGCATTGGAGAGGGGTGGGGCGAGGAGAGTTGTGGGCGGGGCGCCCCTGAGGGCGCGGCATTGGAGCGACCCCGCCCCTGGCTCCCACCCCTGCGCGCCCACAGCGCCCTGGCGCCGGGAGCTGGTGCAACCCCGTGCTGCGCTCGCCCCTCCGCCCGCCGAAGCGCCGCTGTGCCGCCCGCGCCCGTCCGTGGTCGACGCGCCTGGTTGCTGCCTCCCGCGCGCGCCCCCGCTCCCGTGCCTCTGCCACCCGGTAAGCCCCCCGGACGGCCGGGATCCCCCTGCCGCTTGTGGGGTTCCCTGCCCCCGCGCCGGGGCCCCCAGCCATATCTGGTCAAAATATTCAGCTGTCGCCGCCGCCGCCAAGAGGGACTGAGCGTGGCTCCCTCTATAAATAGCCGCCGAGGCTGCTGCAGCCTCCTTAGGTTGCCTCCTGGGCTGGGGAGCCTGGGGCTCGGGATCTAGGAGCCGGCGCTTCAGTCCCCGTCGCCTGGCGCACGCGGGTCGAGCCAGGGCGTCCCCCCTCGTCCCCGCAGGACTCGGCGATCTGTCTGCGCACCGAGGGGGTCCTGACGACTTGCGGGGGCCCGCGCTGGGGCGGGGGACGTGGCGGAGCGGGACGTCCTGGGCTCCCGCGCGGCGCAGCTCGGCGCCCGCCGGCAGCTCGGAGGCGCACAGGTGCCGCGACGCGAGGGCGGCCTCTCCCCACCCGCGGAGTCCAGGGATGGAGTCGGGGCGGAGTGCTCGTTGGGGGGGGAGGGGGACAGGGAGAC